GCAGACAGGGTCATGGTCGTGGGTTAGGCTGAAGTATATGATATGCTGAGGGTCGAGTCCAGTCGCCAGCGTGATCGGGTTTCGGCATGTTCGAAGTCAGCAGTAGGAGTATTTCACCGAGAGTGACTTTGCTGGCAGGCCGCACTAGATAAAGGCCTTCTAAGACACTAGTAACATCCCGGCCCAGCTGCGCCAGCCAGGTGACTCTTTTGAGCTGGTCTCCTTCAACTACGACTTTGTTGACGTTCGGAAGGAGAAGGCCCAGCAATCCAAGAGCCCGGTTATTTGAAGATGGGGATCGTGGAGAGAACATTCACATGATTTCTACGGTACAATACCACACACATGTACCACCCTTGCCGTTCATGGCACTGGTCCTGCGCCAGGTCCATCCACTGATTGGCGACTCGGCGTCGGCGCGCTTGGCAAGGCAAGTTTGCCATGTGCCCTTTGAGTTGATTGATTTCAAATCTGGTGTGCAGCAGGCCTCCTTAGTCACATCTTAACACACAGTGCTTCGAAGCAAATATAATATCGATCGCTACTTAAGCTGATCTGAGTGCATCTGACATGCATCTACTGTTGCTTGGTTCCTGCTGCTCTGGGCTGAAGCGAAAACCTTGGTGCAGGAAGGAATTTAAGTAGAACACACGACTTCCGGGCGCAGATCTGTGCAGAGCAGTGTGCCAATGACTGCATAGCTTGCTTGATTGTCCTGATGAGGATGAATCTATATAATCTGTGAACATTAGGCCTAGCGAATCGCTTATCGATCGACGAAAGCTCGATGATTGGATCTTCAGTAGGAATTCAAACTGTGAAAACATGAAATAGCTGCTATCCTCTAGGTCTGAGAAATATCCAGCCAAAACATTCCTGCGTGGTTGCATCCTGTTTCCTTAACCCTCGTGCCGCCATAGCTGCTGGAGATTGCTGGGTATCGACTGCTGGTTGGCTAGTCAGCGAAAAAGCAACTGCCAGTGGANNAGTCGCTCAAGTCGTGGAAGCTGAAAGGTTCTTGGTTTTCCACAAGTCGCAAGTCGTCCTGACTCAGAGCGAGACTGGCAGCACGATCAAGTCGCGAAGGTCTCTCAGTGATCCCGCTGTTCTTGCGCACCGCGCACGTCAAGGCTTGAAAGAGTCGGGCAAGAAGAGCAACAAGTCGTGAAAAAAGGGCGAGGCCAAGTCGAACCCGCGGGCCAGAACATCCTGACAAGTCGAAGTGGCCATTTTCGCTGAAGTCGCACGTCCTGCAAAGCTTTTGCTGGGACGTGGGTGCAATGGCATCTAATGCGAGAGGCATTAGATGCCAAGACACCGTGCAGGAAGCGGCTCAGGCTCATAGCCTTCCGCCTACTGGGCCCC